CGATTTTGTTTTTGAAAAAAAATTAGAAAAGCACAAAGTACAATGTACATATACAGACCTCACATACAGGCCACAGAAAACGTGAGTAAGTGTTAACACTTCACTATATTTGTGTGAGGATTTTGTTTTAAAGAATTGAAGAGTTTCAGATAAAGTTCCTTTGTTTTTTTCCATTCCCTTGTTTTAAAAGATTACTACTCTGAAGAAGTTCTCAGGAATCTTTCTAGTGTATCTTTCCAAAATTTTGCTAAATATATCCATATATATATATGATTACCATATATACTACTATAAAATATACTATCTGAGTGTTATTTTATATATTTTGAAATTTTAACAAATGGCATCATAATTAACAATCTGCAACTGGAGTTTCTCAAATTGTTGATATTTATATCAAGATATATTATAAATAGGTCTAGCTCATTAATTGTGTATGACCCTATTTTATTGACTAGATAAACCAGGGGTCCTTAAACTTTTTAAACAGGGGGCCAGTTCACTGTCCCTCAGACAGTTGAAGGGCCAGACTGCGGCCCCCGGGATGAGTCAGCTGCTAAGCAGGACAGGCGGCTGCGGCAAAAACACCCTGCGAGCTGGATAAATGTCCTAGGGGAGCTGCATGTGGCCTGCAGGCAGTAGTTTGAGGATGCCTGATACTCTTCTGATAATGAACATTGCCTAGATCTAATTGTTTGCTATTGTAAGCAGTGCTGCTGTGAGCAGCCTTGAACTTGTCTCTTTAAGCATATGAATCAGAGTTTCTTTGGGGCAAGTTCCTAGGAATGAAATTGCTAGGCCGTAGTATCTATACATTATCAACTTTATTTAGATATTGCTGAAATGTTCTCTCACAGGGCTATGTGAATTTATACCTTTTTTCCAGCAATGCTGGTGCTAGCTTTCTGAAACAAATATGCCAAGTGTACTTTCTATAATTTTGAGAGGTTTTCATTGCAAAATTAAACCTTTTCTCCAAAGTTTCACTTGTTTGGCTTTCCAAGAAAGAATGAAGGAAATATTACAACTTTATCATTCATGTTATTCAGTAAATGAAGGGCACAAATTTCAGCAAAACTTTGTTATATTTTGTTCTTTCAGAATGAATCCTTTCCTTAATCTAAATTTAACTCTCCTGCCTTCGTTCTCACTAGTTAAATGGGTAAAATTTCTGACCTTTTCCACATTTTCATGGGCCCTGAGGGGGTTGTCTGAACACTTTGTGCATGATTTTGGATATTTTTCTGTTCGTTTCAAATCTTTTGAAAGGCAACCAAAGCAAAATAACTCTTGATGTTGGCGTAAGTTCATCTCCTTAAATTCCTTAAGTCTTTTGGACCTATCAGGTATCTAACTTAAAATTTCATTTTTGTGTCAGACAAATGTAGATCTTAATACAACCTCCAAGAACAACTTCCTGAACCTGATATTGCTGCTGTGAATCTAGACCAAAATCTACTGAAATATTCCCGACACTGTGCCCCCTCCCGCCATGGTTCCTTCTCTGAAGAGTGGCAGCCCCTGTCTGGCAGTTCAGTTACAAATAGAATTTTTTTTTTTTTGGAAACAGTCTCACTATGTTGCCCTCTGTAGAGTGCTGTGGGGTCACAGCTCACAGCAACCTCAAACTCTTGGGCTTAAGAGATTCTCTTGCCTCAGCCACCCAAATAGCTGGGACTATAGGTGCCTGCCACAATGCCTGGCTATTTTTTTGTTGCAGTTGTCATTGTTGTTTAGCAGGCCTGGGTTGGGTTCAAACCCACCAGCCTTGGTGTATGTGGCCAGTGCCGTAACCACTGAGCTAAAGGCACCAAGCCCAAATCGAAAAATTTTTTAACTGAACTCTTAAATGCTAACAAAGTTGAGCTAATGATGGAGAGTAACGATGGGGCCCCCATATTTATTTAGAACTTTTCTGAGAAGTTGTCTTTAGTTCCTGTTTAGCATTCACTTTTGGGAATCTGTTTTTGTTTTTGTTTTTAAATTTTATTCTCATCATACAAAAAGAATGAACAGAAACGAGCATCAGAGCCTTTGACCCACTGTTGCTCTTTGAAGAAACACTGAGTTTAAAAGTGTACTCTTAACAACACAGACCAGAAAGAGCGGAGAGTTGTCTAGAGCCAAATACAAAGGCACGGAGTTTCAGTCTCCCTAGACACCCTGGGTAGGAGGTGCTGGTCGTGTCAGTGCCTGGAGCCCCCTGGAGGAAACCCTGTATGCTATAAATATATGTTATTGTGACTTCACATTTATAACATGTATGAAGGTTTTATTTTTTGCTTTTTGGAGAACTTGGGTGAGATGACTACAACCCAGGTTTGTGTTTTGAAAGATCCCTCTGGCTATAGTTTAGAGAATGGGACGGAGAGGGGCTGGAGAGACTGCAGAGAAATCAGTTAAGAGGCTCTTGCTGTATTTCTGGTGAGAAAGAAAGCTCATCTGTGCTAAGCTGGTAACAGTGGAAAGGCTGAGATGGACGCGCTTGGGAAGTATTGAAGGAAGCAAATTCAACTGGATTTGGTGATGGCTGGGCTCTGGGGGCGGAGGGAAAGAGCAGTATCACAGTTGAAAGAGTTTCCTCCAATCTGGATACGGAGTTTTGGCCTTTAAGTAAGCGTGTGGAACTGATGTCACAGGTTCAAGTGAAATATTATAATATCAGTATTAGCTGAGACTAGGGAAGCCCAGCTCCTTGCTACGTTGTGTGATGTTTGGGAAAAGCCTGGAAAACAGCATTCTACTTTTCCTTGATGTGAGTAACAGTTTACATTAAGAAGGCAAGAAGTTGTAGGTTTCTCTGTAGTCCACAGAGCACCGACCGAGTTAAATACGTTATTGCTGACACAGAGAGCATAGAGTGAAACATTTTTTTATACTCGTTTTCAAGATGGACTGGTTCGTGGCTGGTAGTCACATGAACTAACAGTTAAGATATTCCCTCACGTAAATGTTAGAGCATTTTACTTGTAGTTGAGGATATGAGCTAGAAACACCAAGGGGCATCATCACATGTGATTCTCAAAAGGCTTCCTAGCAATTTTTACCAGCAACCCTGTGGAAGGCCTGTTTATGGGGGAAGGGTAGGGCCACGGGTCTGGCCAGCAACATTTTTTACTCCGTTAAAGATGAATAGGGGGATTAAGGACCGATGGCTTTATTACACTGTCAATAGTGGACTCAGAGTTGAGATTTGAAAATTTAACCAGCTTCTTAAAAAATAAAAACAAAACAAAAAACCCAACGAAAACAGAAATGACTGCTGTATAATCAACCCCAAATATATGTATCTTGTGTAATTAGATTGCCCATGTTGCAGATGAAGCACCACGTGAAATGTTTTCCATTATCCAAGGGCCAAGAAAAAGAGGTCATTAACCTTAAATATAATAAAATCAAAGAATTTTCATTCTTCTTGGGCTAAATTGATTATCAACTGTGATCAGTCTGGTGCATTTACCCAGTCACAACTTCTCACATGATTATTTTTCCTAGAGTAATGTTTATCTTTTATTTGTGGGGGTTAGTGGTGGGGTTGGGGATGGAGAGCAGTGAGTTCAAGAAAAGAAAAAGAAACCCCACATATCTCAGCTGTTTTAAAATGCCTGGTGATAGTAAAAAGGACCTGTCATCGCTAAGCCCTAGAATAGAAATATTGAGCAAAATTTATATGAATGACCCTACTAGTTTGGAAGCCTCAGTGTAACCAGTGAGGCTCTCTGCCTGAGACTTGTTCTCTGTCTTTTGGGGAAGGAAAAGCAGAGGGCTGAGTAGTGACAATTAGAGACATGATTTTTCAGGGTGCTCTGGAGAACCCCTCAGTAGCTATCAGAAGAAAGATCCCACTGTTGAGGTTATTTGAAAAGGTCCAGTGGGACGATGGTCTTTCTGAGAACTGTGCTCCTGAGGAACTCTTGGACCGCCCGTTGCTCTCTGGAGGCCCCCGTGTCTGGAGAATGACTTTCTAGAATTGCTGTGGACATGTAACCTTCTCATATCCTGCTCCTGTAGGGCCAAAGTGTCCTGGTTCTGAAAAAAAATGACAGACTGTCTCTGCCATCAGCACTAACTCTGTGCTCAGCCCGCCAGTGGTTTTGCATATGACGTTTTGTCCATGCTTATTGCATGGTTTGAAGTGCATTTCATTTTCTTTAATGTGATCATGAAATAAAATCTACTCCTGTTGATCTAAGCCAATGAGACCAATTTCAGTTAAGAAATTTAAAATCCAGGGTGGCACCTGTGGCTCAGAGGAGTGGCCCCATATGCCAAAGGTGGCAGGTTCAAACCCAGCCCCGGCTAAAAACTGCAAATAAATAAATAAATAAATAAATAAATTTAAAATCCATAAGATAGGAAACAGGTTTTTTTTCCTTTTCCTTTTTGAGGGTCTGTCTGGTTTGATGACTCCTCTCCTAATAGTTTCAGGTCCCGACAGCAGAAGAAGTCCTACATCTTCTGCGAGGTGAGCGTCCATTTATTTCATCTGAATCAGAGTCGGATTTACGGGTTCTTTACAGCTCCTTTCTGCTCCGACTGCCTCCCGCTAGGGGTCACCCGGCCGGCTGAAGGGACAGTTCTTGATTCCCATATGCCTTTGAGCGGCTGTGCCTCTGCGCCTCGGGCCTCTTCTTGGATGTTCCAAGCGTGTCAGCGTGGCCTCGTCTTTCGGCTTGCTTTGTTTATCCAGCAGCTCATTACTTAAGACCAGCCTGTCAAAATGGGTTAAATATTCTTTGGGAAATATGGTCACATCCTTGAGATACCGCACATATGTTTAATACAGGGAAGATTGGCTTGATAAGAGAAACAGGATTGACTTGCACCACCCCCAAATATTTTCCTGCTATTCCGGTTGAGTTTCCACAAGCACCAATAAGCGCTAGCAAACCAAAGGGCCGTAAATTGGTGGCGCTGACACGGAGAGACGCTGAGGGAAACAGGGAAAATGATTGCCGATGATTCGTTCTAACTACTTGACCTTCTGACCTCTTCTCCAGATATATGACCAGGATGGGACACTACAGCACTTTATTGATGGTGGGGAACCTAGTAAGTCGAGCTGGATGAGGTATATCCGATGTGCAAGGCACTGCGGAGAGCAGAATCTAACAGTAGTTCAGTACAGGTAAAGTATGTCTTGATTTACCACCTCTAGAGCTGAAGCCGTTTGGCTTGCGTACACAAATTCAGGCTTGCTGCTAGTGGTTGGAAAAAATCCTGCAGACCTCTGCAAGGACCGGCAGACTTTTTTTTTTTTTCTTTTGGTAGGTTCTGAAACCTCCTTAGTTGTTATGACAGTAATTTCGTGAGCTTTGAGGGTTAAAGGTGCTAGTGGACAACTTCTTTCACTCAGTCATATGTAAAGTTACTTCCACAGTGGTCTGAAAGGGTCCAGCAACCTCCCTGACTTGGGGTGCTATTCCCCAGCAGGTGTGTGCACACGGAGAAGCAGGAATTCTGAGATGTGGTCCCAGCCCCTTGCTTTCCATCTCCTTCAGGCCATCTCCCCGGAGAGAACAGTGTCCTTTGGACAAAGGCATGGGAAATCAAGAACTCTCTGCCTTCCCGAGGCCACCCTTCCAAAACCGTTCTGCTTAGCAGCCATGGCAGAGCCAGGGTAACTCTCCCGTTCTCCCTAAAGGTGCCGATTTTGGGCTTGGCCTTTTGATAATTTGGGGTATGTTTTAGGCGAGGAGGGGAATAGAAAGCCCCCCTCCCCATTTCCAAGATGTGTGGGCAAAGTCCAAAGTGTGACAAAAGCGAGGTGGAGCCATCCCCATTTCCTGTAGGGGGTCGTGTAGGGCAGCCTCTGGGGTGCCGAGGAGCGAGGTGGATGGTCCAGACGTTAAGCCACATCTCAGCGCACGGCACCTGCACTCAGCCATTTCCTCTTAGTGCTGAAGAAGGCTGGAATAGAAATGAGAGGGCAAAACCAAATCAAACAGGCAAAAAATCCTACCACTAAGCCTCCTTTTCTCAAAATCCCTCGAAAACATGTGCCATATAAATATATGACCTCAGTTATAAACAGCCGTGTTCCCTTTAGAATCAGAAGCAACTGTTTAGCTTTCTTAGGCACCACGGACACATCAAAGCCAGGGCCCTGTGCTCGGCCACTTGGAGTCCTGCCTATGGCTATTTATTTTCCTTTCCTTTTCTTTTTTTAATAAAAAAGAAAGAAAACGAAGATCCCCCACCACCACTTTTTTTTTCTTTTTAAACCATGTTCCCCTTCTAGGTTAAAGGCTGCACAAATTTGGCTTGTTCTCTGAAGGTCTCCAGTTCAAAAGAAACGTATTTGGGCCACCAGCGATTCAGGGCCTTGGTTTCAATTGCAGGTCTATTTTTAAATAAAATAGTACAAGACAGTATTTGGTTACACTGTTGTTTACAGACTTTACTCACCTTTATTAGAGCTGCACTTCTGTCACGAGGTTTTTAGTAAACTCTGAGCTAGAACATTAGTAAAGATTATACTTGGTCCATTCAGCATGAGATAGTTTGGCTGGTCTTTAACAAGTGCCCAGGGAACACTTGAGGCAAACTCTGAATTTGGGACAACAAGAAACCCCTCAGAGGGAGGTGGGCACCAGAAAGTCATTGCTTATCTGTCAATATTAAGTGGATTTTACAACTCCCCTTTCATGATGGTGCTTACACGACGAGCTCTCTCTGCCAATCTGTTTTCGATTACTTCAGATCTTTATAAAGTGAACTACAAAAACACAATTTTAAAAACTGGCATCCATCACCAGTGACCACGTCCAAGAGTAAGAAAATAGAAAAGTTGGACCCTGAAGAGCCAGCCTAATTTTTATTGTACATGAATGTCCTCTTCACAAAAAGTCAGCTGGTTTAAATTCATTCTGTTATGATTTGTAATATCTAAATGGAATTTTCTTCAAAGCACCCTTGATTGATTGACCCTTCGCTGAACGTTTTGTTTTTATTTTGAGGCTGACAATAATGTCTGTTGGCACGCGTTCTGCCTCAACTGCGTTGGGACGCCATGAAGCTATCTTTATGAGTCATCCAACCACAATACTAAATACATGTCAGCAAAGGAAATATTATCTGAAAAGGAAAAAATCCCTTTGATGTGCTTCAACATGCAGAGATTTCTGCGAGTTTTGGAAGCTCTGCCCGCTTGTAAGGAACGGTGTATGCTTACACATTTTTTCCCCCTTTCGGCCTACACTGCGTCTCAGAAGACCACCCATTGCTCGAAAACAGTTCTGCTCTTTCAGCAGCAAAGTATGTCATTTGGTTTTAGCACATTCATTTGCCGGGCCCTGTGTTTATATTAAGAGAAGCCAAACCGAGAGATGAAATGTTACAAGGGTGAAGTACAAAGTAGACTCAATTTTTCTCAACTTAGGAGATGCCAGTGATTTATAGCTCGGCTCCAATTTTGATTTTTTTATGTAGCAGTGGAAAGAATTAATAAAATGCACAGCTTTAAGAGAGGCAGAGAGGGAGGAAGGGTGGCGAGGGTCGGACCACTGGCTGGAGTTTTTGTCAGATATTCATAGAATGTTGGGGAAAACATTCTGCTTAGCTAGCAGTGCCCTCGTGAGACAGAATGGCAGCAAGTAAGGAAAATAACAAGATAAATGAAATTTTTGCAGCTGCAAGTAAAATATTGAGAATCTGCACTTTTTTATTGATCTTTATGATCCTATTGCCAAGAGCCACTTTGTGGTGACAAAATATGTTGACAAGTGCATATCTCACTGCCATGAAAAATGTGGAGAAGGCTTTGCCTCGTGTCTGCACTGTTATACGAGGAACAAATTGCCCTGCTACCGCCAATTCCTTACAGAAAGGAGAAATTTAAGGCCCACCAACCCTCCACACTTTTATCTTGAACTTGAGGCTAATATTTGTAGCAATTCTTCATTGAGAAAACCAGTCGCACTCTCCTCATTTTTTTTCATCTGTAGGTTTTTCGTTACCGTACCAAAGCTGTTGTAAAAAATGTTTATTTCTTAGTACCCTCACTGCATCATCTCAGAGCGTAATCTTTCAGCCAGGGTAAAGTGCTCTTCTTGTGTTTATTGAATTTCCATTCGTTTCACATAAGAGAGTTTTTCTCTCCTCCTGTATCAAACTTTACAAGAAAGGCAGTGGAGAGGGATTTTATTTCCCTTAGTCCTTATATCACAAAACTGCTTTAATTTTATTACAAATTTGGGAACTCCCCATACCAAGTGGCACGAATACACTGAATGCTTTTCCTGCAGATAAGAAATCAATAGTATTAATTTATGTAAGGCGTTGGGGCACCCGTGTCTTTGCAATTTGCCAGGAGAGAGAATTTTCTCATTAGTGTGAGAGGGAATTTTTTTTAAAACATGAACTCTTCCTTTCTGCTGTCTCTGGGGCCGAATATCTGTGTTTTCAGCTAAGATGTTCTATGGAGGGACGCTGTGGAAATAAACCATGCACTGTTTATTATCACGAGCGATAGGCTCTAATTGGTTGCTGGAGACAGAAAGGGAGGTGTAGATTTATTACAAACAGAAACTGCTTAGGTGGAGCTGGGCAGAACTTTTGGGGGGGAATAAAAATGTGGCTGGGGACGCATGAGTCCTATGTATTACTAAGCTGGGTTTTCTTTTGTTTTGAATAGGTCGAATATATTCTACCGAGCCTGTATAGATATCCCCAGGGGCACCGAGCTTCTGGTGTGGTACAATGACAGCTATACGTCTTTCTTTGGGATCCCCTTACAATGCATTGCCCAGGATGAAAACTGTAAGAATTTATTTTAGCTCTGAATTCACATCTCACAGTACCTATTTTTAAGAGTGTTTTCTGAATCTCCTGAAACCTGATTTCCTGTGATACGTACAGTGCTCAAGTCTGTTCCAGCGTTTTCTTTCCCCATATGTACTCTGCTTTCCCACAGGGAGCCTTAGTCAGGACAGGCCAGTTCTTCCTTGCCCGTTTACAGTTTAACAACTGCCAGAATTTTAAATAATAGCTGATAGCAAAGTTAAGTCGGCTGGTATTGTCTGCTGAGCACCCACTATGTGCCTGGTTCCGAGCTTGCCACCTTAGAAGGGTGACAAGAGTACTGAGAACAGCAGCTTCCTCTCTGAAGGGCTGCACCATTCCCTGGGGGCCACTGCATGTAAAAACGAAATAATGAGAAAACAATGTCATTTAATCCGGGGTAAGGACCCCTCCAGTCGATTGACTGCTTCCTCCCATGTCGTTACTGGAATGAGAAGGGAGAGTAAAATCTCACTATATGACTAAGGAGTTTGTGACTTTCTAAATGTTTTTGTCTAAAATCATGCCTAGAACAAGATAATTGTCTTCTATCTTTATTACCGTCTAGGCAAATGTGAGCTTACAGCAACTTTCCTTTAAACTTCATACTTTTGTTTTATCAATTTCGAGGAAAGTAGTATGAGGTAATTTCTAGTTTGGGGAACAGAACTTTGTAATCCTAATGTGCTTCAGTGAGAAACACTGGTTTCGGGGATGCTGTGTTTTCTTGTCACCAGACGGTCTAATTTGTGAATTGATCATTTGATATTATGCTACAAAAAGAAACAAAGATAACCAGATCTGTTTTGTTATGGGATGAGAAATTTCATTTTGGAAAAAAAAAAAAAAAGGTGTCATTTTCCTTTCTTCTTCTCCACTTTCTCTCTCTTTCTCACACGCACACACATTTGATTTTAAAATGCTCTTGTTACTACTGATCAAAATAGCAACGATCAGATATTTTTTCCAATGTCGACTTTAATGTCTTTGTAAAAAGTAAAATCCTCAAAAAAACTCTATTACTATCAACTTTCCTTTTCTATTTTACCCTAACCCCAAACCAATGTCAAATCAAAAAATGAATCTTTGGACACGTAGTACATTCCTCTTCCTTCCCAAGTTTCCATTGGAAAGCTTCATTTCTGCAGCGATCCTCCTGTTTGAGGGGATATCTGTTTTCATAGGAGAAACTCTCAGGGTTGGACGTGAGACTGTGCTTGGCGTTAGAGGCAGATGTGGCCACAGAGGCCACTGTGCTCTGGTTTGCCCTAAATGGCTCCATGCCCCAGGCCCCTGAAACTGGATCTAGGTCCACGCACAGAAAAACACCCACATCAGCTCACCAGCCTGCTGACAGGGGCTTGTCTGTGTGTCGGAACCCTGACAGCATCACCTTTGGAAGGGTGGAATCTGATCCAGAAACCCATCGAGGTCCCCTGTACCCTCATTTAATACAACCAACCGCTATAGCACCTGAAAATGTTGTGGTATGCATGTTGAGGAATGTCCAGGAGTAAACATCTCAAGGCCTAGAGTTCCAGAGTACATAACATATCATCCACACAGTCACTCAGTTATTCATTCATTCCCCGCTCAGCTATTTATGGAGCACTTACCGTGGGCCAGCGTCTTTGCAAGGTGCTGCATGTACAACAGTGAACAAAACAGGCGAGACTTCCTGCCCTGGTGGAGCTTATATTTAGTGGAGAGAGACAGATCATCAGCACATACAGAAGTGAATACATAGTTTGTCTGATGTTGATAAGTGTGGTAGGGCTAGATCAAGCAGATAAGGGGTAAGGAGTGCCAGGGCATGGGAGTTACCTTTCAGAGAGTGATCAGAGGTTAGGTCCCACTGGGAGGGTGGCTTTTGGACAGAGACTTTAGGAACAGGAGGGACAAACTATGTGTTAATGGGAAGAAGTGCACTCCGGGCAATCAGACTGAAAGTGTCAGGGCCCCCAGACAGAATGTTCCTGGCACATTGGAAGGGTGTCACAGAGGTCAGCAGGGTGCAGAGGGGTGAGTAGGGTGGGGAGAAGTTAACTAAGACATGGTGGGTGCAGGGGCAGGGACCTGGGAGGACCCTGGCTTTGACTCTGTGTAAGCCCGGTGGTGAAGGGGACTGTTGTAGAGTTTTGAGCAGCAGAGTGATCTGACCAAAGCTGTAACAGGCTTGCTGTGTCCACTGAGTGGAGACTGACAGTACGCGTGTAGGAGGAGCAGGGAACCCAGGGAGAGGGGATGGAGGCTTGGAGCAGGGGGTGGTGGTAGAGGTGGTGAGAGTAGCTGGATTCCGCATATATTTTGAACATTTTCTGACACGTTAGATGCCAAGTGACAAAGAAAGAGGAGCCAAGGATTGACTCTGATGCTTTCGGTCTAAGGATCTGACCCAGAAATGGAAACCATGGCATGGCCACTTGGAGGATGCGTTTCTTTTCTTTTCTTTTTCTTTTTTTTTTTTTTTGAGACAGAGTCTCACTATGTCACCCTTGGTAGAGTGCGGTGGCATCACAGCTCACAGCAATCTCAAACTCTTGGGCCTAAACGATTCACTTGCCTCAGCCTCTCAAGTAGCTGGGACCACAGGCACCCGCCACAACTCCCGGCTTTTTTTTTTTGTTGTTGCATTTGTCATTGGTGTTTAGCAGGCCTGGGCCGAGTTCGAACCCACCAGCCTCAGTATATGTGGCTGGCGCCTTACCCACTGAGCTACAGGTGCTGCCCACTTCTCACCTTTGACATGGACCTGTGGAGTGCCAGACTCACAGCCACGTGCTGTTTCTACCTCCTAATGCTGTTATGTGGACAGGAGGGATCGAGGGCTTGGGGTGGCACATTTTGCAGTCTGTGTGCCATTCACAGCACCTGACAATGGTGTCAAAGAGTGTCCTACCTGGTCTTCAGATTTGGGGCAATAGTGTCAAAAATGTACTTTCTGGAAGCAATATGTGGTTTGCTTTCAGTCCTTGCCTCTGTTAGAGCCCAACCCCTGGGAAGCATTCTCAAAGTTGATGATCAGAGTACTGGATACTTTCTCACAGGGTATACGTTATGTCATTCAGCACCTGAAATCTTTGAAAGAAAATTTGCAAAGCCACCCGAGCTCAAAGTGTCATGGACTCAGTAGGAAAACCAAGTAGCTCTTTTAGGATCAGTTCAGAGCTCTAAGTAAGGGTGGAAGGAAGTTTAAAAGGGATTAAGCCATTGACTAAATACTCAACAGGGATATCCCCCTTCCCCCGAGGGTATTATAGGAATTTTATTTCAGTTCCTGTTTCAAATTTATGTATCTGTCATGTGATTGGCCACCCAGGAAACAGCAGAAGGCTTCATCCGATAGTGTGAGGAAGATCTATGACTTTGCCTCTCCAAGATGGATTCTCGTCCCATATGATTCACTGAGAGGCCTGGGAATGCTTTAGAATGAGGATTCCTTATTCCATGAGGAGAAAATATTCCATGTGATTTAAAAGCACAGATGTGTGAAAGGGCATGGTCAGAGGAATTTAACAGATAGCCTTCCACAGCCCCTTGCCATTTAAATCATCTCCACCGGATTAGCAAGTCTATGACAATTTTTATCTCACTGAGCTAGACTCAGAATAAATTAGGTACCTTACAAAGAAGCTTGAGATCAAAGACGTATTGGGTAGAGTGCCTCCGCGGAGCCGCCTTGGAGCGCTCTGCACACAGCAGACAATTAGCAAATGCTCTCTGGATAAATCCGGAGCATCCCTTTGGCCGTCATGAGAAGGGATGAAACGTTTTAGCCAGATTTTTTCTTTGTTGATGAAACTGATACCTGAACCAAAACATTTACAAAAAATCGTGATTTTACTTAGTGAATAATACTTACGAAGCACTTTCATGTATAAAAGGATCATTTTCTTCCCATGACTCTTTCTACATAGAAAGTGCACATTTCCTACAGGGTGTGTACGGCGGGCTGGGGCTCAGTCAGGGCCCCCTCTGTTGGTGGCCACAGGGCAGGGGGTGGCCATGGCCCACTCACTGCCTCGACAGGCCCTTGAAAGCCATCTTGACTCAAAGAGAAGACAGCATTTCACACAGGCCTTAGGGTTCTGGAAGCAATTCCTATGTTATTTTCTTTGGGGAAAAAAACCCTCATCATTATAAATGTAACGGAGCTGCAAAGAGAGGGCCGTGCATCCACTGCGGGCCTCCGAACAGAGCCCGAAGGAAGGCCCGTGTCGACAGATGGCATCCGCACGGAGGGATGAGGCTCCCCAAAGCTTCCAGTGGGGGATTAGCTCCTGCAGAGTCAAAAGACCAGAGTGGATTCCGATTCATTTCAGAGGAAATTTAAAAAAAACCTGGGAATAAATGTTAAACACATCTTCCTGCTGCTTTTTCTGTCTCGGCTTATGAAGCTGAGGTAGCAGAATGTGAGACTTGATGGCAGCGCGGGAGTTGCTGCGTGGGAGCAAACCCTGCTGGGCGGAGGCCTCCCTTTTCTCTTTGATTTTTAAAGAGCAGAAAATAAAAAGGGGGACCTCAGCAGGTGCCCCTCAGTCCCCACCCCAATCCAACCAACAGTGAGGGACTAGGCCAGTGTAAAGAAGGCCGTACTCAAGCCCTTACCTGTGACCTTTAGACGATTACAGAATAATTCAGCCCATGGGACAACCCGGGTGCAGGGCCCCAAGGGAAGCCTTGTGATGGGTGCAGAAACTCAGGCCCTGTCCTAGAGGACCCCAGTCTAGAAGAAGGCACTTAAGTACCTGGCTACAATGTGGGACACAGGAGGGGCAGCGTGAGATGGCCACGGCGCTGAGCCTCAGCCAGGCTGACTGTCAATGCCGTTGGGTTTCAAAGCAACCAAAAAGAAACCTGAATTGGATTTCTTGCATGATCCAGGAGCCAGCGTTTCAAAGCAACCAAAAAGAAAGCTGAATTGGATTTCTTGCATGATCCAGGAGTCAGAGGTACTATCCTGGCCATAAATAGGGACTGAAAGAATGCTGCCCTCAAGGCAATGAACATCTTGGGCCGTTGGAGAAACAGAGGCACACTTGAAGCTTAGCCCAAGCTATAGGATGGTATGAGGCTGGATTTTGCACTGCCTGCCAGATACGGAAACCTAGAGCCCAGAAAGTAATATAAAAGTTGGTCTGGAGGCTTGGTGCCTATGGCTCAAGCGGCTAAGGCACCAGCCACATATACCTGAGCTGGCAGGTTTGAATCCAGCCCAGGCCTGCCAAACAATGATGGCTGCGATCAAAAATAGCCAGGTGTTGTGGCGGGCACCTGTAGTCCCAGCTACTTGGGAGGTGGAGGCAGGAGAATCGCTTGAGCCTAGGAGTTAGAGGTTGCTGTGAGCTGTGAAGCCACAGCACTCTATCCAGGGCGACAGCTTGAGGCTCTGTTTAAAAAAAAAAAAGTTGGTCTGGAACTGTTAAAGCCTGTAGGTTCCTAGACAAAGGGAGGAGAAGCCAATGGGTAGGCGTGCTTTTGTGTGTGCCAACACCCCTGAAAATGGGATCACAGAGAAACGTGGCAAAGGACTCAGGGAGCTGACTTTCTGAGCAGTGCAGCACATTGCAGTGTCCTGCCTCCGTCCTGGCTGCAGGACACGGCTGCTTGTCCCCCACATCCTTGGGTGATGTCTCTGAGAGGAGCTTGTCTCAGAGAGCCCACGAGAGCCACGTCACCCTTGTCTGTCCTTCCCCCCGTAGTGGCCTGTGTGCCATGACTGGTCACTGTGGGATGCACAAAGGACTAGCTCCCTTGCCTCAAGGCACGACCACTCTGGGGACATCCCCAGCGCAGACTCTTATGCCCCTCCGGTGGCGTGTCCTGCTGCCCTCACTTCCTGACAGGTGTGGATGCTGAGAGCAGACCCCAAACCCCCATCTGCATTTCAGAGTCTGCTTCCTAGGGGGCCTGACTTCAGACAGGTCCCAGAATGATATTTTCCATCCTGACATCTTTACTGAGGCCCAGACTCCTACCCACCTGTCTCTGCAACATCTTCCCATCATGTCTCCCAGGCATCTCAAACGAAACTTAAGTGACACTAAACCCATTCTGTTCACTCCCCAAAACTGCTTGTCCCCTAGCTCAGCTCTTCACACTTAACGTTCATCCTGTTGCTCTTTCTGGAAGCCTCAGCAGCTCACTCATGCCGGCTGTGTGTTGACTGTGTCGTCTTCCTGCGTTTCTTCTCCTCATCTGTATTGCCACTGAGCAGGGTCACCATCTGCTCTGGCCTGTCCCCTGTGACAGACTCCTCCCATTGTCTCCCCACGTTCTATATAGTATCACGGCAGCCAGAGTGAAGTTTCGTTGATTTGCTTATTTTTTTGTTTCAGTTGATTTACTTGTTTTATTAAATAGGTAGATGGGTCCATAGATCAAAGCCCAGAAAGTATGGTGGACACACAGGTCTCCTTCCAGAAGGCAATCAGCAATGTTGACAGGTTCTCAGGTATTCTTCCAGGGATAATTTTTGCTCCTCTTTTCTCCTCCTCTTTGTCCGGGTATCGCTCTCCTGCCTCCCCTTTTTACATTTGTTTTGACTTTGCTTTGTTGTTTATTAATATAGAGCAGTGATGCATTTAAAGCCTAACTCTGATCATCTCACACCCTAGCTTAAAACCCTTTTTTGCTTGCTATTACTCTATGCTAAATCCCCAGCTCCTTGATATGGTAGCTCAGGGGCCACAGTCAGCCTCCAGAAACATTTTGTACGGCCCACGTAGCATTTCACAGGATCGGAACCCAAGTGCCTTCGGACTGGCCAGGCCCTGTTCAGTGTGCTGCCATCGCCATCCTCTGCTGTGCTTGCCTGCCTCCCCTCCCCTCATCTTCTATTTCTGTGCCTTGTCCAGCTCCTACCAGCCGGGTGATTGTGCTGCCTTCCTCTCCAGCCTAAGCTGCAGCCCGGCCGCCTTCTCTCTCAGGCGCCGTTGCTTTCCTGAGGTTCCTCCAGTGCCCCGAGCCCCTTCCCGGCTGGGCATGGCACGTAGGCTCTGCGGCAGAGCTGCTGGGTCCCGTCTCCCTGCATCACCTTTCCCGCATCACCTGTCTGATGCCCACGCACCCGTCAGGACTCAGCTTCCCTCCTACCCCAGTTTGCCCATCTCTGGTTTATTATTTCCTGGCAGCCCTTTCTCCTCTTTCCCGGCACTTGCCACACTATGGTAACTATATTTTGCCAATTCTGAAATGTGTGTATTTTCACATTTAAATATATCTGAAACTGGTAGGAATCTTATGGTTAATGGAGAGTTATAATGGTGAAATTACCAGAAAGGTAGATTTAATGGAAGTGAGTTAATGTTTATCTGTAAAAACATCAACTCCTAGCTGTCTCTCCCACTAAAGTTTATGTGCCATGAGGGCAGGGACAATAGCTTTCTTGATCTCCCTAAATCCACTGTGCCGGGCATGTAATAAATGCTCGGTGTTTGTGGCCTAAATGAATGGACATGAGAAGGAAAGTAGGACTTTGTTTTATGGATCCTGAATTTGACTTTCCTGGGGTTTTGTTTTTGGTTTTCTTTTAAGGTAGCGTCTTGCTCTGTCACCCAGGCTAGAATGCAGTGGCCTCATCTTAGCTCACTGCAACCTCAAACTCCTGGGCTCAAACAATCTTCCTGCCTCAGCCTTCCAAATGGCTGGGCCTATAGCTGAAAGCCACTGTGCCGGCTAATTTTTTCAATTTTTAGTAGAGATGGGGTCTCCTGCTTGCTCAGGCTTGTCTTGAACTCCTGACCTCCAGCAATCCTCCCCCCTTGGCCTCCCAGAATGCTGGGATTATAGGTGTGAGCCACCACATCCAACCTCCTTATGTTATTGATGAGTTCTTTCTGGACTATATCCTTTAAAGTTTTGAGAGTTTCCTTTTCCCTTTAATGTTTGCCTTTATAGACTGAAAAGAATTACTAGATCAGTATTTCTTCATGCAGAAATCACTTTGTCTTTCTGGTCATTTTCACTAGCCAGCTCTGCATCTTTGTCAGTCTCTATAACTTTTCTTGAACAGGGATAAGGTAGTGTTTTCTGATTGAATTTCTGGTTTTATTTTTTTCCTGATAATTTTCTGTGTCTAGTTAAACTTTTATTTGTCCTAACCAGTCTGATACTTATGGAGAATAATTTTCCGTGTCTTCTAAAAAGTTCTCTTTAAAAAGATTATACTTCTTAGGCCCCTAGTGTCGTGTCGAAATGAGTAGGAACCTCATAGTACACTTTAGTGGCCAAATAGAATTGATTTTGTGAAACTATTTACTCCTATCCTTATTTTTTTCTTTACTTTAAATTATTCTCATTTTCATTCTATGGGTTTAAATATATTCATAAGTGGGGACCATCCCAAAGGCAGATGGCAGAGTACACGCATTGCTGCCTATAGTGGGAAAACATATTTGCCTGTAGTGTCTTGGAAGAGAAAATAGCAATATGTTAGAATAATTTTATTCCAGCTCTTTTTGCCTAAAAAAATGCTATTATTATTACAGTTCAACCTCTGAAAGTTGACCACCCAAGGTACTGTACAAACTGGTCAACATACAGAGGTGGTCACCATAAGGACCTAGGCCTGCTATACTGATATGTACACGTGGTGTATGTCCAGTCTATGGAAATTAGGCCAACGTAAGAAGGTGATCATCTAGGGAGGTGGTCAATTATGGAGGCTTACTGTGTTATCATTAATGCAGATCCCATACATCTTGGATGATTATACAAACTTTTAGATATAGAAGTCTAGATTTTTCATTATTATCTGACATTGATCATTAAACTTACAAAACTTACAAAAATTCATTGGCCCACAAATTCTTTTGTTTTAATATAAAAGTTATGTGACCTTAACAGTTAAAAAAAAAATCAGTCGCTTAGGTTACTTTCTAGGAGTGTAAGTGAGAAGCCAGAATCTATCATCTATACTTAGAGGACTATTTGTATTATTTTCCCCCAAAGGCATCATATTCCTCTTTCCAGCAGTGATGCTTCTGGCCAGCTTTTCCCGCTCTCCTGAATGTCGATGACATCTTCATTCCACAGTCTTCCCACCATGCACCCCTTCCTGTTAGTCTAAAATTTCCTGGCTCGCAAGAGCTTAGTGTTCCCTGAAACCTTGTGGATTTCCCTGTGTTTGCGTCCTTTGGACTAGTAATGAATGGGCTACACAAGGCGGTTCTACCCTGGTCTCTGGTGATGC